TGTGTCTTGTCCAATGTGGTGGCCAGTCGTAGGACTTGGTGATGGAGGGTGGTGGGTATGTGATGTAATCTGAGACATTGGTGGTAAAAAGTTTGCTGGTGCTCCAAGGTTGTTTTCATCGTGGGCAGCAAGGTTTGGAGCTGTTGGATTCGGCCTGGTAGGCGTGGGTCTTGGTTGTTGGTGTCGGTTTCTGCCAATTGCAATTGCTTGATTGTATCATGGAGTCGGTTGAGTTGAAGTACCATCAGCCGGTTGATCTATATGTTGGTGTCCCGCAGCTGTGAAATAATCTGAGCGTCCAAGGCCACAAGGGGATCCATCGCGGGGTCTGTACACGAGCGTGAAAAAGCTGAGCTAAGTTGAATGGCTGAGCTGCGACAACGTCAAGGTATAGCCATGGACATCATAAGGCACTGAGGTCAACAACAACAATCAAAATCAGTGAATAGTATAGAATGAATCCTGCGCATGCATTGAAAAGATTGAATTGAGTGCTGAAGTTCTGTACATTGAATTGACAGTGTGGCAAGGGTCGGATGTTTTGATAGCAGTCAGTGTGATAAAGCAGAGAGAAAAAATTGTTTGAACATAATGGGACTCCGAACTTGTTTTTTGGCAGCACGCGCGGAAGAGAAGTATGATGATGTTCATGTGTTGGAGTCTATTGCTCTCAACTGCTGAAATGACAAAGGAGGTAACTGTGCAGAGTTGGAAATAAGTACAAATATGTAAATAGGTGCACACTGTGAATAAGTACAAAGCCATCAATAGTTCTGGGCGTTCTTCGGCACAAAGTAGTCCTGGGACGTAGTAGGGTTGTAGGCGGACCGTGTGACAAAGTGAGCTGCTGTCAATCATGTGCTGATGGATCTCGATGTGAGTCCAAGGTGTTGTTGATCTCTGTCTGTTTGTCTGATGGAGCCGGGGCTTCTGTAGTCATCGTACTGGCGTCGCGTGTGGCCGGGGGTGTTGCCTCGGCTTGGTGAGAGGTTTTATGAGGTGATGTTGCTTCTGCTTCTGGGCTCTCTGGTGGTTGGGGTGTGTAGAGTATCTGCAAAACTTGCCAGCGACCTTTGCAATCAAAAGGCGTTTTGTTGAGTGCTTTGGCAATATATTTCCAACTGGGGCGAGCTCGCTTGTTGAGTTTGAATGCAGCCAATTTCTCGTCATCGCTGGGTTCCCATCCTCCATTGTCAGGATATGGAGGGGAGTCACTGAGAGTTTGTGGTGGTTTAGGTGGAGGTACTGGTGATGGTGGTGGTGGAATTGGCAGTGGCTGTGGAGGTGTGGTTGGTGAGCTGTTGAGAGAAATTGTTGTGACCGGTGGTGTAAGCTGTTGGAAGCCTGTGTTGTTGTGGTGCATCAGTTGTTGTTGAGTCTGTTCGACTTTGTGTTGTGCTGGTGAGTGCTGATGTGGTGAAGTGGGTGTGTAAGAGGGTGAGGGTTCTGGTTTGCATCTCAAGTGAGATTTGCCGGGGGTGGGTGGTGGACTGCGACTGCGTGGTGGTGTAGGTGGTGGCGGCGGCGGTGGTGGAGTGCGTCTGCTTGATCGTTTAGAAGAGATTGGAGTGGAAATAGGTTGGTGGGCAGGTGGTAGCGGTTGTGGTGCAAAAAGTTGCAGGTTTTGGAACGTGGTGGCAATAGATGTGGCTGCTTGAAGGTGAGCTAAAAGATGCTGTGTCCAAAGGAGATGTCACATTCGTGGTACTCTTCGTAGAACCAGTATGGCTCGTTCAGCTGTGTAAGAACGTGCTGAATAGTTTGAATGATTTGTTTGAATAATGCAAAATGGCTGCGGTACGAAGCAAGCATGTGAAAAGAATGACGAAGAGCTCTTGGTACAACACCATATGTCGTGCTGAACCCAGTCAGTGTATGTGAAAAATCTGAACAGCCGGAAAAATCTGAATAGTTTGAAAAGTCGACAGTCGTGATGACTTCGATGTCGTATTGTCTGCGTAAAGTCGTGGGCATGCAGCATCTTGAAAATGAGTGAAGGTTGTCAGCGAGTAGTGAAATAGTGAAACGGTAAAAACAGAAAGCGAGCGGTGTGGGTATTTTGAGGACTTGTCGTCAACCGAAATGTGGGGTGAAAAAGATCCTCCTAGGCTGGAAAGGTTGAATTAAATGAAGCTAAGCGGTGGCTTTGCATCGCTTTTCCAAGCAATCCCTTCAATCCTTGAGTGCTTGGGGTGTGCTACCCAGCATTTTCCTGGGGTATATTTCTTTATCCCTTCACCACGGAGTAGCAGGTCATTCGCGGCGGATTCGCCCCCATGAGTCACTTTCTGGCCATGGCCATAAGCTTTGATCGTCAGGATAAGGCCGCTGCGGTTTTTGGCCATGTTTGAAGCATTGAATAACGCACGTGCGGCTTCGGCAACATCATGTGGCTCGTAGTTCGATAATTCGAAAGCTTGGCAAAAGAAACCGACATTGTGGTCGTCGTGCAGAACCGATCTCACAATTTCTCCAGCCTCAAGTATGGATATGATGTTCCCCTCTTCGCTAACATGTGCCGCAAAGATGTGTTTGATCGGTTGTATATTCAAAGCTTCTCTCCTTGTAGGTGGGAGGATTGGGGCATCGCCCCTGCTCGCTAGTGTGGGGATGGCGAGTAGTAGGAATGAATACTGTTCTTCTTTGTTGGTTTCATCGTTCCATTTTTTGTGTGTGGGAAGTTGCATGTCTGTAAAATGGGTGCTGTTGAGATGGGCTGCGCTGAGCACTTTGGCCACGTAGGAAATCATGGGGCGTCTACAGCAGCAACCACAGCCCACGCCACCACATTGGTTCCCGTATCCACCACACCATACCCAACACTGCCACCAGCACCACACCATCCAATTCCTCACAGTTATCAATATCCCACGCCACTTCCACCTCAAGCCCATTATATGCAGCCACATCCAGTACACCCACCACATTATACAGTACAACCTACCGTTCTTCTTGACAATACCCAACATCCGCAGCCGCATCCACTTCATACAACACAACCAATACAGTCCCACGCCCACACACCTCCAACACAGCCACCTCAACCACATGCACCACACACTACAAGCCAATCACCACCACCACCACAACCACAACCACCACCTCCCTCAACAGATCTGCCACATACCACCACTCCAGCAGAAACCGCTACACCACAGCCTGCCGACTCGGCTCCACTACACACTCAACCAGCTCCCACAGAACCTGCTTCAGCATCCGTCCTCACAGCCGCTCAGCCTCCACCACCACCCAAAGTGCCACGCACAACCAGACCGACACCATCTATTGCACCCACACTCAGCACTACAAGAGGTATTTGGCGAGACCCTGATCGATCGCCTCCACGTACACCTGAACACCACCGCTACTCAGCCTTTCCTGCCATTCCCACTATTGCACCATCACAAGCTACATCCAGATCCAGGAGCCGCACTCGTTCAGCACGCACTCCACGCTCTCCATTACCACGACGACGAAGTTCAGCTACCCAATCAGTTGCCAGTTCACAACCACATTCCACGCCTGCTGACAGGCACACATCACCACCACCGGCCTTAACCCAAGAAAAAACTCACACTTCTACCAAAGGCATCACCGTTGCCACTACTCAAAAACACACGCCAGACTCAGCCCACCATACCTCTGGCATCATACTCAAACCCAACCCACATTTCACACCCAAACACATCACCAAAAAGGCACCAACACCACCGCCCGCAGCACCACCAACTATTCCAGTCCAACGACGTCCTCACAACCTACCTCCTCCAAAATTCCAACCACCCACTGATCCAGCCCAATTGGATGTCTTCCAATGGATCAACCAGTACGCACAATCGCTTGACGTTCACAATGAATGGCTGCTCGGCAAATCGAATGAAGTCGATGTATGTATGGATGTAGAGGTGTAAATCAAAGCAGTCCTTGAACATGAACCTGAAAAAAGTGATACAATAAAATAATATGACGCTGCAAAGTGGAGGAGTGTGCGACCGACCCTAATTGAACTTCTGAAATTGAAAATTGAAAAATTGAAAGTGGAAAGTTGAAAATGGGAAGGATTCCTGGGTGAAACTGATGCAGTCAAACTCTGCAGTACATTTCAGTGGAAGAATCAGTGAACTCTGCAGTAATCTTCACGTGTGACGGGTGAGACCATCCAAGCAAGCTGATTTCGAGCAGGGAAATTCAGTCGAGTAAAATTTCAGAAAACTTCAGGGAAGCTTGCACCTGCTGTGAGGAGTGAAAAGGTTCTTGCAATAACGGCGCCCCGTAGGGATCACACAGCTTACCACAGTGGGAAGAAGCTGCGGAAACACACTTGAGAAGGTTGCTCCGTAGAGCGCGATTTCAGGCTGCTTCGCGGAGTGCATTAGCCCTTTAGATCTAGATACTGCAGAAAACAGCGTATGAGACGGCGTTGCACTGACTTAGAAACATCAGCGATTGAAAATTAAAATTAGCATTGAAATTGCAGGTACGTGATCCTAGCGCCCCAGGATCATATCAGCCATGGATGCAGCCCTCTTCGTTGGACAACCAACTGCATCCATGGGGTTGTCCCCCTGCTGCTGTACAATGGTCATGAAAGTCCTAAGAAAAGCTAGAAAGAGTTAGAGTAGTGTCCTTGGAAACAGGAGTGGACACACACACACACACACACTTGAGCGAGCAATCGAATTGGCAAAGTGCAGCTTCTGTTGTATTGAGATGTGTTGGAAATTGTTTTGCTGGCTGCTTGTTCATTTCCCACTTAAGCGACTGAAACATGAACATAACACACACACACACATATATATATATACACATACATACAGCCTACACATTTTTTGTATGATCATGGTTGTTCGGGGTTGGTCGACCGAGGATCACTGGAAAATTGCCAGGTTATTTGTCTCGTCAGCCGGCCTTAAGTTCGCTGACGTGCCCAATGGACAGCAATCTCCAAAGTGCCGGCAGCAGGTTGGGGACAGATCTTGGCCTACATGGCATTCTGCGAGGTTTCCCAGGATCAGTCTCCTGGCACGCCTGCTGCGGCTGGAGACTTTGGATTCAAGGTCTTGACTTCATCCGATCCTGCCGAGAAGACGAAGAAGCTAAGTGCAGAGTTGGCAAATGGTCGCTTGGCAATGATGGCGATCATCGGCATGTTCTTTCAGGCAAGGTGTACAAGTTTCCTTCAACTTTACTGAGAACAAGAGAAACATTGAACGTAGTGAACCTGTTCACAATGTTGCAAGTTGACAACGCGATGTGTAGGTACATCAATTCCGATGTGCTTATGGCTCATAATAGACCAAAAACACAATGTTTTGTATGTGTGCTGTTGTGGGTCGTTCCGTTCTTCATTTGCGTATTTGCTTAGGCTTAGACTCTGTCCGTTTCATTTGACATGATCATGCCAGTGTGTTCAAAATTTTAATTGGCCAACATGGGTGTGGACATCGGTTGCTCAGTCGACGACTTGCCCTGCAACATGCTTCCCACACAAAGCGCAGGATGGGTTCACTGGCAGTGCGTGGGGTGATTGGGCCAACTACACAGCCTCCCCTTTGCGTGCGGAACCCGCAAGTGCAGCGGCAACGGCTGCCGCTGCAGCCAAAGCGGCCGCAGCAGCCAAGGGAGCTACTGCTGGTGTGGGATCCTTGGCTCAAGGCAAAGGAAGTATTAGTTTCGATCCATCCACCCATGGAACCACTGGGTTCTTTGACCCAGCTGGCTTTTGCAAGAAGGGCGATGAAGCGGGTTTCCGCAACCTGCGAGCCGCCGAGATCAAGCATGGCCGGGCTGCGATGATGGCTGCGCTCGGGGCAGTAGTGCAACACTACGTGAAGTTCCCGGGCTTCGGCGGCTAAGCATGCAGCCCTTCACGTGGGCGCCGCTGGAAAACCTCGCCTGCACCTTGGGGCCTAGATGGCGTAGAGAGGGATGTGAATACTTGATGAAGGGGTTGAAGGGCTATCTAGTGTTAATGTCTTTTTTGCTTAGTTGGTTTAGAGTGATCTGCGGGGCGAGGGCGAACCCATTCCGGTCCTTCGGGGTCCGGCGTTTCTCCGGGTTTGGGTTTTATTTTCTCGATTTTTGCTTTGCATGGTTTATGGGGAGAACGGGAGCATGCGACTCCTGTCGGTTTCGGTTCAAGGGACGTTGAGCTTCCCCCCGCGGGCGGCTCTTCCCTTGGCGACCGGCAGGGGAATACGGTAACGTGGTTGACCCTAACGTTATCGTGGATGAGCTGTGTAGGCTTCTTTGCGGGCTGGTCTGTTTGGGTCCTACGGTGTCATCCCAGAAGGTTGGCCAGTTTGACGGGTGTTCTGTTGAGAGGTCGAGTCCACCATGGCTAGGAAGAACCGTTGGTGTGGGGGATCAGCGGCTGTTTGTCGGAGCTGCTACTTTTATGTCAAGGTCATGAACGTAGGTGTAGAGTATAATGGGTGATGAATGATGGGGTTTTCTGGGTAGGGCCACCACGGGTATACCAGCCAGGCGCTAGGTGCCCGGGCTCCCAAGTGGACGCCGAATGACAGCTACATGCTTGTCAACAGGTGGCGGGGGTGGGAAACGTTTGCTTGCTGCCGCTGTCTGTATTGCACGGATGTGATGGAGCATGTTGGGGGCAGATCTTCCATTCTCAATTGTTTTTCGTGGATCCGTTGTCTTTGTGGATTTTGTTGAGTTGTTTAGTGTTATGGTACACCCTAACTGGTTGTGGCAAGGGATGGCCGGTGAGCCATGGGACCAGTTTGAGGCTTGGCGGCAATGGCGTCTTTGCTTTGGGCCACCTACACCGCGCTGATCTTCTCTTCTTCTTCCCGGGCTTTGAGTCAGTGCCAAGTGGCTTGGCTTTCGCTGTCACTGCGCCGGGTAGCTACGGTTTCATCGGTTTGTTCGCCTTGTCTGGCGCACTGGAGCTGGGCCTTTGGACGGAGAGCGACGACAAGGAGCCAAGCAACTTCGGAGACCCAGTGGGATTCAACCAATACACTCAGGAAATGAGGGAAACTGGGCTGCACTTCTTGACCCAGCTTTCATGGTTGTCTCAGCAAATTCATATCATATTGATTCATATTGTCCAACTAAGGAGCGAGAACTCAACAACGGCCGCTTCGCGATGTTTGCGGCTATTGGTATCATTGCAGCCGAGCTGTACACCGGCAAGGATGCTGTCGAGCAGTTCGGGCTGTGAACAGATCCAGAATAGCTGCCGGAGTGCTTTGACACGGCCCGTGAAACGGGTGCCTGTAGGTTGAAACGAATTATAGATAGATAAAACGAGTGATCCATAGTGACCTGTTGTACAACTCTGATTCTTCCAAAGATGCGAGCCGCGATTCTGAGCCAAAGAAGGTGTACAGTCTGTATAGTGACCACTCTGATTGATGTGTTCCTACATCATCCAGGCTTCTAAGATCTTTTAAGCGCATCGTAGCGGAGAAGAGCACAGGGCAGGCAAAATGTCGGAGGTTGAGGTCCGTGTACTTGGAAGCTCACGACCCTGTATGAAGACTCATTCGACTGGTTGCTTGTGTACTCGATATGTTGGGTTTGAGCAGCTATAGGCTATCATATACAGTGTATGTTTCTCAGATGGTGTGGTAGCGAGCAACTCGAGCAACTTAGTAGTGTGAGATTGTTTGAAGTGCATCCACGATCAGCTTTTGTTCTTCACATGTCCATTGTTATACAGTCATCGCTGCCAGGACGTACAGTAGGTACGTATGATATGCACCCATCAATGAATGCAAATCAACTCAAGGTTGCTTCTCTATTCTTAGGGCTGTGTCTGAAGTCTCATTAGAAGTGTGTATGTCAATATGCGCGCCCACAATCACTCATATACTGTGAAGCAGCTGTTGATGAGGGCGCTTTTGATATATTAACATATCGGCCCAAGCCTTTTTAAAGCAACCTGGCTGTGTGAGCAAAAGCTGCTCTCATTTTTGGCCAAGGTCCTTTTTTAAAGGTGCCTTGTGTGCAAGAAGGTTCAATTTGTTGATCGGATGGGTTCAACAGTTAAACACATCGGTATGTTCCTTTTCAGCTTTGTTTGCGGGGCATGCAGCGTGAGCATTTGTTGGTCTTGCCACGCTTTGGCAAATGGAGGGAGAAAACGCGGTAAGTCAGTGGCTTTGTCGTATAGATTAGACGAAGATGCCTTAGACTCGGAGGGCACAGAGGATATGATGAGGATTTGACACACATGCGGGGCCTGCGCCGCTCGAGCGGCGATGTCCTCAGGATGTCCTCTACTTCCCGAAGTGCTGTTGCGGCTGCAGCAGGTGGCTGTGGGCCATGCATGGTCTCTTTTTCTCAGGGTCATGTTCGGAAGTGATAGCGTTCCCGCACCGGGCTCCACAGTTTTGATATTCCTTTGGGGATTCAATTCAAGAAAAGAATCACACTGGACACTGGTTACCAGTTTATGAGATTGGGAATTTATAGATTTCGACACGTCAACCTCAAGTGCAGCTCTTGCTTTGATCTACAATGTAAGCCAATGATCAATCACCTCCCCCTGGAAGGTGGTATTTGGTGTGGGTGACATTGGGATGACATTTCCATTGATTCGAGGGTCAATCAGGAGGAGAGATCCAACAGATTAAGTTTTTTTATGCAGAGTGAAGCGGAGTAGATGGTTTATAGGGTAGTCGTGTTGGGAGCATGAAATGATCGTTTGCTGGATAGTTCTTCTTCTTCTTCTTCTTCTTCCTCTTCCTCTTCCTCTTCCTCTTCTTCTTCTTCTTCTTCTTCTTCTTCTTCTTATATATATATATACATATTTAAACTCTATATATATATATATTTAACGATACGTTTCAACAGCAGGATTTTCTGGGAGTGGTTTTGTGACACGGAAGATGATTTGGTTAAGAAGCAGGATGCCGGCATGGATGATGCAGTTGGCGTGAATGAAGAGTTCAGACTCATTGAATGTTCTGCGCATCACATATCCACCTTTTTAGGCCGAGTGTTTTGGGGTAGCCACTAAGAACAGAAAGCTGGGCAAGCAGGTCTTATGAGAGGTGGTTGGTATGGTGGGAAAAGTCGGTCCGATTCAATGGGGGGGTCCCCCCAAAAGTGGGGTTACATGATTCTCCATGTTCTAACTGCCATGGGTCATTATTTAGGTATATTTAATTTGGACCGCGGGCATCTTTTTCCGAAGATGTCCTGGCCGCCAGGTGCTGCCGCCCTGTTCAGTGGTGCCAGCTTCGTTTCGGCTCCAGCCACCTCGCATCTGAGGGCCTTGAACTCAGCGTGATACGCGTGGCACCTGGTCTATGTCTGTATGATGAAAAAGAGTGCAACGCCCCCACCCCCCTGCAAGAAGCATTCATGGAGCAGGTTTCAAATGTGGCGCCCATGGGGCGATTGGGGTCTCTATACTTCAATACTGACACATGCTGGTCAAACCAACGTGACCCGGAATTTGATGTACTGTCCCTTACAAACAGAGCCTTATGGCATGTATTGCTTTGTGACAAGATGTTGCCTCGCGTCGTATCGTTCGACCCGGCTTTTGGCTCAAGAAACAATCCGCTGCTGCGTTGCTGTGCACTTTTGAAGGTTGATACATTTGTGCATGGTAGTGGAGCTCCTGGTCGAGCTAGTGGCCTGGGGTTCCGGTGTGCTTGATACGTTGGGCTGGTGGATTCGATCTCCCGGTTCTCGCTGGTGGAGTAGCGTCGGCTGTTTCGGCCGGCCGACTCCGGCGAGAGAGACTGCGGAGGTGGAGGATCCTGAGCAAGTGGCGCAGGCTGGTCCGCAAGACTCAGAGAGTGCGGAGGCTGCAAAAGGTTGTTCCATCACATTGGACAACCTTCAAGGAGCGATTGCCCAACGATTGCTGAGGAGATCGACTGCTATCTATCAGCATGGCAACAGGCGGAATGACACAAAAGGGAGCTCGTGCAGGCCGTGCGACAGCTCCAACAGCAGGTCACTGAGGGCCGTCAGCGAGAGACACAGATGAGGACGCAGATCGAAGCATTACGACAGACGCAAGCGCAACAAGCAGCAGCGGCAGCAGGAGGAACACTTCCAGCAGATGTTGGTGCGGCTTTCACAGTCAGAAGGAGCTCATGGACAGTTTGGAGCGCAAGGATGAACGCCGAATGTCACTAGTCGACACGAAAGGCCTTGCAAAGCCAGACAAGTTCACAGGAAAAGAAGAATCGTTCCTATACTGGAGAACACGCCTTGAGGCTTTCATCACTTCAGTGTTTGGTGAATTCGATCGAGTGCCTCCATGGTGCGAAGAGTGCACCCAGACCATCACGGAGACCGACATCGAGAACGCGTGGGGTGAAATCTCTCCAACTCACTCCCACGCGAAGGAGAGTCAGGCGATGAACGCCCAGTTGTGTGAGGGTGAGGCATTTAGCGTCATCCGATCAGCAGGCAAGAACTGTGGGTTAGAAGCATGGAGGCGCTTGGTTCGACGGTACGGTCCAAGACGGACAATGTTGAGACACATCCTCAACCCGCAGAAGTGCCAGAAGTTGGATGACTTGTCCAAAGTTGAAGTCTGGGAGGAACAGCTGCGGATCTATGAGTCGAGAAAGCGAAGCGACGGAACAAGGCATTCGCCCGATGACGAGATCAAGATTTCCATCCTGGAGCACCTATGTCCGACAGAGATTGAACGGCATCTTCAACTGAACAGGTTGAACAGGTCCAGGTGCACCACATACCAAGAGGTCAGAGCTGAGGCGTCGCTGTACCTGGAGACAAGGTTGGGAAGCAGGTTGAAGATTGGGACTGCAGCCCATCCAGATGAGGCAACGCCCATGGACATTGGCGGCTTTGGCAAAGGAAAGAAGGTTAAAGCGGGTAAAGGTAAGAGCAAGGGCAAAGACTCCAAGGGCAAGGGTCAAAAGGCAGGCAGCTCGGCCGTCAACGGCAAGGGTCCCAAGACTGAGGATCGTGAGTGCCACAACTGTGGCAAGGTTGGACACCTGGTGAAAGACTGTTGGCAGGCCGGTGGAGGTCAAGCCAACAAGCCCAAAGGAGGCAAGGCAAAGGAAAGGGCAAGAGCTCGAAGGGTGTCAGCAACCTTGAGGAGGAAGAAGGCTATGGAGAGCCGGAAGAAGAAGTGGCCGAGACAGGATTTTTGTACCTGGCTGGACCTGAGGACCAGAACGATCCAGAGGAGCCCACTGAGGAGATCTACGAAGAGGTGGTGGACGTTGTGCAGAGTGTTGCAACTGTTGTTTCATGATGCGTTGTGGACACTCGGACGACCGCGACAACCGCGTGTGCAATCTCTGCGAGTCCGACTTCGAGGCCTGTCTGAAGAAGACCACATTGGCTGCGACCTGAAGCATTGAAGATGACTAAGCCCGAAGAGTTTCCCTCCATCCTGGACAAGACCATCTGCGTGATGAAGGGTGTGAGCCGTGAGAAGTTCGAGGCCATGTCCAACTTCACGAAGGACAAGATGAGGGACAAGCTGGATCCTGATAAGGCCATTCGAGGAAGGAATGAGGAGATGTTGAAGGAGATCGAGAAGCGTCGCGAGAGCCTCAGAGTTCAGCGTCGCGAGAGCCTCAGAATTCTCTACTTCGAGCGGGTCACTAATTTCTGATGCTGGAGGCAACCAAGCCTCAAACGTCCGGTGAGCCGAGTCAGTCTGCTCGACTGGCCGAGCTTCCATCCCTGCAGACGGAACAGCATCGGGACCTGCAATGCATCGGACGATCAAGCGCCATGGAGATCGCCAACCTGGACACTGGACACTGAGATTCGTGAGAGGCGCAACGGCGCAACGCCATCGAGGAGCCCATAGTGCAGAGTGCAGAACCTTGGTCCAGGAGAGGGAAGGCAGAGAGTCTTGCTTGCACAGAAGCGAAAAGGCCAGGTAGCCGAAGAGGCATCAGAGCCACATGGCGCGGAAGATGTCATGGAAGACATCCCAGATGCAGGAGAAGAGATGAATAGACACAGCTGGCCCCTCCCGCAGAACGAGTCGACTTCAGTGGCAGAAAGCATCTCCACACGTCCATTGACGCCTATTGGACACAGCTGAATTCCGGAAGATTGTTTTTGCATGAACATCCCAATTGGGCAACGAGTTGGCAAGACCCCAAGATGATCGAGCTACAGTCCGACCCAAGAGTCCACACAGTAAGTGGACCGATGTGTAGATGGGAAATGGTTTCAGAAGATGCCAAAGGCCTTGGATACGTGCGAAAGGAGACACAGTTTGTGACAAACTCCCGCACGTTGGCAGAGTTGCTCAACAGAACTTGCGAAGCTGGACATAGACACGTTCATCTCATCAACGGTGGACAGAGGAGAACTGAATGCTGTCACAGAGAAGCTAGACGGCGTTGGACCAGTTCCTGATGGTGAAAGCAACGAACCCACAGAAGCTTTTTGATTTTGGTCTTTTTTGAGAACTTCGAGGAGGACGATGGTGAGATGATCTTCGACTCCGTGACCGGAGTAGCGCTTCTGAAGGCAGAAGTTTGGAAGGCCCGAGAAGAAGAATCAGAACTTCGTTGGGTTGAAAAGCAGCAAGATCTACGAACCAGTCGACATTGATGAAGCATGGCAAGTGACGGGAAAGGCGCCCATTACGCTCAAATGGGTCGATCGAAACAAGGGTGACTGGCAGCGCCCGAACTTCCGTTCCCGGTTGGTCGTGCGCGAGGTCAAGAAGAAAGGTCAGACGTTAGAGGACGCTGAGTTGTTTTCGGCTATGCCACCATTGGAGGCTTTGAAGGTTCTGTGCAGCCTGATGGTGTCCATGAAGACAAGCAAGCATGGAGGAGCGCTAAAGTTGCGGATCTTGGACATTTCAAGGGCTCATTTCTACGGGGAAAGCCGTAGGCCTGTGTACACCAACCTGCCTCCAGGCCCAGAGCAAGAGGGCAAGTATGTACGGCGCGCAGGATGCCAGTATTTGGCAAGAGACCTATAGCAAGCTGTTGCGTGAACACAATATTGTTCAAGGTGTAGCCTGGACGGCTATCTTCTACCATGAGGCAACGGACTCCAGGTTTCTATGCCATGGTGATGACTTTGTTGTTCTGGCTGACAGCAAGGGACAGCATAGTAAGAACGAGTTGATGGCAGCATAGGCCCAGAGGCCGGAGATGGGAAGCCATGACCGCGTTCTTGAGTTTGACAGCGCTACTGGTTCCACTCGCTACGAGGCAGATCCACGACATGTCGAAACTGCGACCCGACAGCTAGGACTCGAAGAAGCCAAGCCGGTGGTCACGCCGGCTGAGAAGGTCAGTTCACTGGAGGCATTGGCTGCAAGTGGGCTACCGCCACTACCTTCTGCAGATCGCAGTAGTCTGTATAGATCAGTGGTCATGAGATGTGCCTACTTGAGTCAGGATCGTGTGGATTTGTGAGAGTGTCAAAACTTTGGCTCGCTTCATGGCATCGCCGACAGAGCACTCATGGGGCAAGCTCAAAAGACTTGGACGATATCTCAAAATTTGTCCACGAGTCGTGCAAGAGTTCAAGGCTCAAGAAGAATATGACACGATCACTTGTTTTACGGACAGCGACCATGCCGGTTGTCTGTTCACTCGAAAGAGTACAGGCAGGAAGACATTGCTTGAAGAGTTCATCTACGGTGCAATCGACGATAGCATTGTCGAGTGGCGAGAGCGAGTTTTACTTGATTGTCAAAGCAGCTTCCGCAGGACTCGGACTAAGGGCCTTGTACCACGAGTGGCGCATTCCTGTAAAGGTCGTTGTACGATCTGATTCGTGGTATGTGTTCCAGGAGGGGTCTCGGTAAGACGAGACACATACAGACAAGGTTCCTATGGGCGCAGCAACAGGTGAAGAACAAAGACATTGATCTACGAGCTGTATCCACGCACGACAATCTGAGTGATGTCTGTACGAAGCCTGTGAGCCACGATCTATGCTACAAGCATATGCAAGCAATGGGACAGAAAGTCCAACCAGGACGATCGACGACCACGAAGCATAACCTCTGAGAGACTTCATGTACAAAGTCCATGTCGTCTAGGAGGGTGACAAGATGTTGCCTCGCGTCGTATCGTTCGACCCGGCTTTTGGCTCAAGAAACAATCCGCTGCTGCGTTGCTGTGCACTTTTGAAGGTTGATACATTTGTGCACTTTGTGGCGGGCTGCGCGTTTTTCCTGGTTTGGGCTGTTGGGTTTCCTGAAAGACCAGCTGCAAGAAGTCCTCGGACCGACGCGGCCAACCGAAACACGTGGACCAGCCACGCGTACAAGACCGGCTGACGCAAGCAATCTCGTATTCAAGACCTGGAAGTGGGCAGCCATTCATAGGGCGTGTAGGGCGACCGAACGTTTTGGTTCAATGTCTTTATGGACTTTGCGGGAGCTACCGAGACCCAGGTGAAGCTTTGCGCGCTACCAGACCAACCCCTGACCACCGTGCAAACACCATGCAAAACCTGCAGCGCTCAGCTACAAAACCGGCAAGCAGGGGCCTCCTTTCCAGTGAGTTTGAGATGCCTTTGCATGGTTTTAATATGTTTGAATATGTCTTATGGTTTCCATTCGGTTTACAGCGACATGTTTTTTCATGTGACCCTGATGCTAAATCCAACGATTCGCGTATTCATGGTGTGACTGTCAGTCACACAAACAACCCATTGCAATCTTCTGAGTGTTTTGCTGATCTTTTGCAAGTTCAAGTGAGCCCCAAGCAAAGCAAACAACTGACCAGAGCTTTGGATGTGACTGCATGATTCCACCAAAAGACATCCGCTTTGGATGTGCTTGTCCCCATCCCAGATGAGGCAAGTCCAATCAAATCAACCTGTTTTCGGGTTGAAAACGGGGTGAATCCACGAAATGCTGACTATTTGATCGAAAAAGTGAGAAGTTATCACAAAAAGGACTTTCCCAATCAAAAACTGAGGCCACTGCCGCACCCTCTGCGGTATCTACCCCGAGCGTCGAGGCCGTGGCCGGGCGCTCCCAATGGTACAATCTTGCCTTGAAAGCCTCATTGCTGCACACCTGTGGCAGGGCTATGGCTATGACCGTAAGATCCGTTTTGATAAGTTAGGCCAAAGAACAGCTTGCAGCCACTGGATAGAGGCAGTAGAACAGGAGTGCAGGTTCTCGTCCGTCTAACACCATTACTTTCTATCCTGTTGTACTGTAAATTGCCAATTGGAGCGTGTCCTTGTTAGTGTTGTTTCTCTTCATCTTTTGTTTGGAGCTTGAGGGGTCAAAGACGGAGATAATTTTCAGGTAGATTGAGACTGGCTGTCTTTCAGAACAACAGCAGGCTGCGTCCAGCAAGACGGCCTCTCTTGCAGTGGCCGGCGTGGCTGTTGCAGCCCTTACGGCAAGTGGCCGAAAGGCCAGCGTTCGCGCAAAATTCTACGAACGGAAGCTGCAAACTTGTGTTGTAGTCCAATAGTATTCTCTCGAAACTTTTTTCATTAACTTGCAATCTTGAAAAGACCTGTTGTGATTAGTGATCAGATGATTGCAGCTTTGCAAGGGTAAAGGCGCGAACCGTTGCGGTTTGGGTCCTGCTTGCACGAGGCCTTTGGTAACATCAAGCCGCAGCTGGTGCGACAGGGGGGCTGGGTTTATTGGGTGCCAGTGTGTACCCTTTTGATCGCGCGCATACAGTACTTTGGGGCCAGTGTGTATCCCTTTTTGACCTTTTTGTCAGTGTGTTGAGCCACAGGGTGTTTCAGGTTGTTTTAGATTCCAACACGACAGACCTGCACTCGAAGCTTCGAGGCAGATCGAAGCTTCAATTCCGTCCATTGAAGTTCAACCTTACTTTCCCTCACTTTCCTCTTTGCGCACATCATATTTATAGTGACTATATTGTGGTTGAGACACTGAAACCTTCCAGTGACAGGTCACCCTGAACGCTTTTGAGAACGAGTTGGGTGTGCAAGCGCCAGTCGGGTTCTGGGATCCTGCTGGTTTTACTGCAGATGGTAGCGTGGAGGACTTCAAGCGACGTCGTCAAACAGAGCTCAAGCACGGTCGCATCTCCATGCTTGCAACAATGGGCTACATTACTCCAGAGACACTTTGATTCAAAGATGTTTTTGCATTTATGTGCGTGTTCAACCATCTTCACGAAGGAAGTAGGAGAGCAGCTGCAGTTTTCTTGCATATTTGTGAGTTTGACATGGTGTCCGTCGCACCTGGAAACGGCCCCATCATGTTAACAGTGTGTTGTTAAACGAGTTAGCGCAATGGGAACCTTTTCAAAGCACGATCGCCCGACAGAGCTTGTTTTGGCTAGGACATGTTGCGCACATGCCAATGCATCGTCTCCCTAAGCAGGCCTTGTTTGGTTTTTGGAAGTCGCACCCCACCCGGCGTTGCCCGCCATATCGACAAGGACAATGGCTTAAGTACTTACTATCTCAGATGAATGTCTCGAACTTAGATTGATTTAGACAAGCTCAGGATCGCCAAGGCTGGCGCCACTTGGTACTGACCGCCTTCCCTACTGTAGATCGGCAACAGGTGATAGCGTTAAATCGCTGGCGACCTCACATGGGGGCAGCTCACGGACCCAATTTGACATATCCAACCAGGTGACCTACCATTATGAAGCTGAGCACGCTGTAGCCCATCACCGTCGCCACTTATTCGTGCGAACACTGCCATCAGAGCTGGCGAAACGAAAAAAAACCGGCGCCAACATATCTGCCCCGTCCGACCTGCTCCTAAACGGGGACCTAAGCCTCATCCGCTTGTCGCCTGTTGACACTGTCAACGACAAATGGCTGCCCCCAACGTCGCTCGGCGCGAAGCTACTTGCCGTGGACCTGGAGACGCTAATCGTCGATGTCAAACCTGTAACGCGCTGTTCTCCTCAGTGCAGGCTCGTAAAAACCATGAACCCCGCTGTCGAGGTTGAGATTCGGTTCCCCCTACTTACCGGTGTAATACGCAACCCTGCCTAGCGCCAGGCGCGTCCTGGGAGGTGTGTTTGGAACATGTTCCATTCACGAGCTAGGGGGGCCTCCTGCGCACGTCCCAGTGATTATCGCTACTAGTATTATCTTCAGTCTTCCTCCCCGGTTCCTACGTTCTCCTTCATATGAGCAGTTTTGGCTTCAGGAACACCGCGCAGACGGTGTATCTGGTGATCTGGCCCCCATGGCCGGAGATAAATCCCGGAAACTCAAAGACCTCGACAACCGCTTAGATGTAGTACACGAGCGGAGCCCGCAGACCGGTGGCCGGACTCCCTCTCGACCTCACCTCTCGCTATTGGTCGGGCGAGACAGCTAGCCCTGTAAATCCTCGTGACCCCTACCCCGGCCTGCAGAAGGTTCCCCACGCTTGCTGGACTTGCTCAGGCGACGAGTCCCCGTCTCTCCTTGCTAGGGCGGCCACTTGATTCACTTGATATATTCCAAGACCCGACTCTTGAAGGTTTGTTCATGCGAGCTCATTTGGCGCTCGTTCTGTTGTGGCGCCAAAGTCTGGAGCGAAAGGTGCGTTTTGCATTTTGATGTTGTCTTTGGAAGCGCTCTTGCTGTGAATCGCCTTGGCAGGGCTGCGCGGTGTGATTCTTGATGTGCAGATTTCTAGGCAGGCGCAGTACTTTGTAGACCTGGAAGCGCGGCATTCGTGGCAGGCGCAGCGCTTTGTGATGTGAACCTTGAGAATTGCAGACTTCGTGTCAGGCGCAGCGCTTTGTGGGCCTTGAGGTGCAGATTTCGGGGTATTTTCGGGGCAGGCCGTACTACTTGGTGGTCCTTGAAGTGCAGAGTTCGTGGCGCGCGAGTTCGTGGCAGGTGCAGTTGTGGACCTTAAGTGCAGATTTGTGGCAGACGCACTGCAGATTTCGTGGCAGGTGCAGCGCTCTGTCCACCACCAGCGTCGCCCATCTCCACCACCATCATCACCGTCGCCACCATCATTACCAACGTCGGCGTCCCCACCATCGCCACTGCCACCCACCACCATCACCACCATCACCGCCGCCATCATCGCCGCCATCAACATCATCATCGCCACCATCGACGCCGCCCCCATCACTGGCACCGCCACCACCATCACCATCAGCGCCACCACCATCACCATCAGCGCCACCACCATCATTATCACCACCGCCGCCACCACCACATCATCATCACCACTATATATTATATATATATACCATCCCCTTACCACCATCGCCACACCGCCATCACCACCTCCTCCAACACCACTATCATCACCATCGCCGCCACCACCACCACCATCGCCGCCGCCATCATCCAACATCATCATCTGCTGTCGCTGGGCCTTAAGCCATCACAGGGTTGAAGCTGTAAGTTGACGTAGATTGAAGTTTCTGCTCGTTCTTATGAATATAATCTTCGGTGTCTCCAGCTCCAAACAACAAACGTCAAGGCGCTACTGACTTGATTTTGCACAGGTTCTGATTGAAGTGCTGCGCATGGTGTCATTTGACAAGTTCTGGGTGCTTGCTTTGGCAACGAAGCGCGCAGCAACAGTCCAATGAAATGAGCATTTACCTTATGTTTTTACTTATAAGTTATGTTACGGTACTTATAAGTGGCGTAAGTCTACTTATGCTAGTTATGACCACTATCAAAATAAGTAGCATAAGTGCGACGGTAAGTAGAACATTGTGTTTTGAAGGTTTTGGTTCTTTCTGTCCGCGCCTGTAAATTTCAACCAGATGGACCGCGCTAGAGACTATTTAATATCTCCCCGGAGGAGTCGGAGTTACAAAACAAGAAACCCCAAATTTACGCGCGGCGCGGAAGCACCAAACCCCCCCCCAAAAAATCCAACACTCTCCCGCCCCGGTCTTCCCACAAATTCCCACAAAAGATTTCCCAATTTTTCAATCGTCCCACACTTCTCCTTATTAAAAGTAAATGACAAGGCCTTTCCCACATTCTACCTCTCAAAAGTCTTCCCACAAATTCCTACAGTTTTGCCAGAATTCCGGGCGCTCCGTTTTCTTGCGCCCAGTAAGTGCTCTATAGTGGCCCAATGAGCCCGATAGAGGCCTCCAGCTTATATACCTCAGAGACCAGCACGCCCACAGCATCCAAGGCATACAAGATGTCGGTCGCCAGCTGCTCCAATGATGGCGTCAGGTTGACCTGCCAGGACAACCCTCAAAACCTCTATTCCCATAAGTGGGATAAGTAGAAAAAAGTAGAACAGGTTTTTTTCGTCATACTTACGGAGAACTTATAAGTATACAACTTGTTTTAAACATAACTAGCGCAACTCTGTAAATAAGTACGATAAGTAAAATGCATCGTTTCGTAAAACTTACGTCACTTATCATGGATGTTACTAAGATGTAAGTCTACATGTCCCATTCGTAAGTAGGTTATATCCAAAAAAACATTTGGTATTGTACTTACAAAAATAGGTATTGGGTTGGGGGGCTTGGGGGGTCTTGGGACCTGCACCCTTGATTGTTTGGGGCACCATCGAAAAAGCACATTCATGTTTCCAACTCTTGTAGAACACGGAGAAGAACAATCGACACAAATTCCCTCCACAAGTTGGAGAGCAGCAAGGCGCATGCTCCAGCTTTGTGCGTATGTAGTCTCACTTGCAAGCACAGTTCTTGATGTGGTTATGGTGATGTTTTTGATGTTGGAATAAAATTGCCTGAAGAGCACGTTGGGTTCAATATGGTTTGATGTGTGGTCATCCACTGAGGATCACTGGAAAGCTCCCAGGTTATTTGTCTCCATCAGCCGGCCTTAAGTTCGCCGACGTGCCCAACGGACTTGCAGCAATCTCCAAGGTGCCTGCAGCAGGTTGGGGACAGATCTTGGCCTACATGGCATTCTGCGAGGTTTCCCAAGATCAGTCTCCTGGAACTCCTGCTGCGGCTGGAGACTTTGGATTCAAGGTTTTGACTTCATCTGATCCTGCGGAGAAGACGAAGAAATTGAGCGCCGAGCTGGCAAATGGCCGCCTTGCGATGATGGCGATCATCGGGATGTTCTTTCAGGCAGGGTGTTCATCAGGATAACGAAAAATGAATGTTTTTTGTACATGGTGCCATGCAGCAGTTGTTCGTGTTTTTGCTCGTGCCAAAGTGGTGATGCAAGTGTTTTTCATCCGAACTATTTATTTCGTCATGTCGCCACCGCTACCCCTGATACAAGTAGGAATTCCATCATTCACTTTTGCCAAAGCACCCTTCATGCAAATGATATATATTGCAGGAACCACTCCTATGACCATTTCACCTTTCAGGCGGATCTCATCCTTGGCCTGACCCTTTTCCCTGTAAGATATGATGTTTTGTTGCAAACATGATATGTTCTTTAAACCCAGGTTTTTAAAGACACAATTGTTTTGAAGGAGGTGTGTTTCTTGTAACGGAACAGCTGCAGTTTATGAAGGATGTTTGTTTCAATCAAACGGACAA